CCCCACTGAGCAGAGGCAGCAGCACCGGCCTGTGCGGCCGGGGGACCTCTTCCCCTGTGGGGTGCAGCCGTCTGGGTGGAGCAGGGCCCCTGTGCCTTTCTCAGGTAAATGGACCCTACATCTCCCCCCCGGCCTCCAGGTTTCATGGTCAGTACCAGAAGACAGGATCCCCTCTGTCTCCCTATTCACAGCCCTCTCTGTCCCCAGTTACACCCCTCTATAGCTTCCCCAGTCACACCCCAGCCCTGCAGAATCACACCTGTCTCCCCCTTTCACACCCCTTGCTCTAGCTCTGTCTGTGCCTGTTCTCACTTGCCTCTCTATCTCCTTTCACACTCCCTCTAGGCCCAAATCACAGCCCTCTCCAGCCTCCTCCGCCATTCACACCCCTTCCCTGCCATTCACACCCTTCTCTAGTTCTGTCTGCCCCTGTTCACACCTGCCCCTCCATCTCCCTTCACACCCCTCTTGCTCTGTCTGTCCCTGTTCACACCTGCCCCTCCATCTCCCTTCACACCCCTCTTTTTGTCTCTGTCCACCCCCAATCACACGCCCCTACTTGGGGACCCACGGTGTGGTCTCTGGGGCTCTCCCTCAGGTGGTTGGAGCCGGAGGGGCAGGCTGCTCGGTGGGGGAGAATTAACCTTGGCACGGCTCCCTCAGGCCTGTGCCTCTGTCTGTCCCTGTTCACACCTGCCCCTCCATCTCCCTTCACACCCCTCTTTTTGTCTCTGTCCACCCCCAATCACACGCCCCTACTTGGGGACCCACGGTGTGGTCTCTGGGGCTCTCCCTCAGGTGGTTGGAGCCGGAGGGGCAGGCTGCTCGGTGGGGGAGAATTAACCTTGGCACGGCTCCCTCAGGCCTGTGCGGGCAGGTGCCGTGCTGCTGCTTCCAAACTGACCCTCAGCCCCGTTCGGGGAGCTGCTGAGCCGTGCTCTGGGAGGAGAGCGGGGCCTAGTGGTCTGAGCGGGGGGAGCTGGGAGCCACGACATCTGGGTTGGACCCTGCCACGGGCATGGCCTTGGGCAGGTCAGTTCTGTGTCCCCTTTGGTGTCTCCATAGTTCTAAGCCAGTGTAAGCAAGGCCCACGCCCCGTTCGGGGAGCTGCTGAGCCGTGCTCTGGGAGGAGAGCGGGGCCTAGTGGTCTGAGCGGGGGGAGCTGGGAGCCACGACATCTGGGTTGGACCCTGCCACGGGCATGGCCTTGGGCAGGTCAGTTCTGTGTCCCCTTTGGTGTCTCCATAGTTCTAAGCCAGTGTAAGCAA